CAGCTTTATTGTTTTTCTGTGTAACTTCTGCTTGGGTATTTAATGTACACCCAAACTTGCTCACAGCTTCTTTTTTGCTTGCGTAACTTTTGCTTGGATATTTATGTACATCCAAACTTGCTCGCAGCTTTATTGTTTTTCTGTGTAACTTCTGCTTGGATATTTAATGTACACGCAAACTTGCTCACAGCTTCTTTTTCGCTTGCGTAACTTTTGCTTGGATATTTATGTACATCCAAACTTGCTCGCAGCTTTGTTGTTTGTCTAAGCATATTTTTATTTTTTCTGGATTTTGCTAAATTTCTCATTTTATTCAGATAAAAGTCGCAATATTGATGGGGAGTACTTTACAAGGTTACTTTCCTTTGCTTACTGGTAGTATTTCTTAAGGTGCGCAGCATTCCAGGTCCGTGGGATTATTGCTCCATTGGGGCGTGTCAACTTGAAGGCCCCGTTGCCTAAATCTTCCTTGATGAGGTATGGTCCTTCCCAACTTGAGCGTAGCTTTCCTTCTCGGGGATTTCTTTCTGAAACCTCTGCTTTTCTTAGTACCCAATCTCCTTTGCATAGGTTTTTGGGTTTTACCTTGCGATTGTAATATTTTTCTGCTTTTCTATGGTAACTTGCCATTCGTATTTGTGATAAGTCCCTAACTTCTTCTAGTAAATCCAAGTTGGCTCTCAAGGTCTCTCTGTTTTTGTGTTCGTTGTAATGGCTTGTTCTATGCGTTGAAATTCTGGTTTCTACTGGAATCACTGCTTCTGTTCCGTATGTTAAATTGAATGGGGTCTCACCAGTGGATGTGCGATACGTGGTTCTGTAGGCCCATAGTGTGTACGGTAGTTCTTCTGTCCATGCGCCCTTTGCCTTTCCTACCTTCTTTTTCAGGCTATCCAATATGATTCTGTTGGCAGCTTCTGCTTGTCCGTTTGATTCTGGGTAAGCTACTGAAGCAAATCTCTGCTCAATTTGCTCTGGTGTTTTTCCTTCGTTTTCTAGTTGAGCTTTGATTGTGAATCATCTTTCCAGATTCTGTGCTTGGCAGAATTCTTTGAAAGATTCACTTGCGAACTGGGTCCCATTGTCCGTGACCAGGATTTTTGGTGTTCCAAACCTGCATATGATGCATATCTTTACAAACTCTTCTATTTTCTGTTCTGTTATTCTGGCCACTGCCTCGGCTTCCACCCATTTCGTGAAGTAGTCTATTGCAACTATAACGTACTTCTTTTTTCCTTTTGCTTCTGGGAAGGGCCCAAGGATGTCCATCCCCCATTTTGCAAAGGGCCATGGAGCTGTTACCATATGTAGAGGATTTGAGGGTTGGTGTTGTATTCGAGCGAACCTTTGGCATTTGTCACATCTCCTGACGTATTCCCTTGTATCCATCTTCATGGTTGGCCAAAAGTATCCTTGGCGGAGGATTTTGTATGATAGCGACTCTGCTCCTATGTGGTTGGAACATTCTCCTTCGTGAATTTCTTCCATTACGGTTTTTGCCTCATTGGGTGCCAGACATCTGAGCCATGGCTGTGTGTATGATCTTCGATAAAGATGGTCACCAAGGATTGTATACCACGCTGCTTTTCTTTTCAATTTCTGTGCTTCTTTCTTGTCTTCAGGTAAATCTCCATTAGAGAGGTATCTTTTGATTGGATTCATCCAGGTTACTTCTTCTTCTTCTATTTCCAGGATTTCTTCTTCAGATATTGAGGGGGAGCTCAGTTCCTCAACGTATATCTCTTTTCCTGATTCTGTGACTCCTGAACTTGCTAATCTGGCCAACGCATCAGCTTTTGAATTTTCAGTTCTTCTTATATGGTGCATTTCGTATCCTTTGAACGGTTTAAGGAGTTGCGCAGCTTTTTCCAGGTATTTTGTCATTACTATTTCCTGAGCGTTAAAGTCTCCTTTTACTTGGTTTACTACTAACTGTGAATCACTAAATATTTTTATGTATTCTGCGTTCACAGCTTTTGCTAACCGAAGTCCTCCCAGCAGAGCCTCATATTCTGCTCTATTGTTGGATGCCTCAAATGTAAACTTTAGTGCGTATTCAAAGGTTTCTCCTTCTGGTGATGTCAGTATGATTCCTGCGCCACTCCCATTCTCACTTGATGATCCATCAACATGGAGGACCCAGCAAAGATCCGGTGGAATTACCCTTGCTTGCTCTTCTTCTACTTCGGATGATTGTCGCTTTGCCGGGGGTGTTGGTAAAGGTGTGTCAAGCGCAGCTTTTTCTTCCTTACTCAGTTCTACTATGAAGTCTACCAAAATCTGAGCTTTTGTAGCTTTTCGTGGCTGGAATTCCACATCAAATTCTGTAAGCTCAATGCTCCATTTTACCAGCCTTCCTGCTAAGTCTGGTTTGTGCAATACATGTCTCAAAGGATAATTGGTGAGGACTGTAATTTTGTGCCCCATAAAGTAATATCTCAGTCTTCTGGCTGCTATGATTACTGCATATGCTAGTTTCTCCAAAGGTGCGTACCTTCTTTCTGGTTCTTGCAGTACTTTGTTTACGAAGTACACAGGTCTTTGCCTTTTTTTGTTCTTGCCTGATTAAAGCTGCGCTAACTGCTTCTGTTGTTGCTGCTATGTACAGGAATAATGTCTCTCCGGGGCTAGGCTTGCTAATCAAGGGTGGAGATGCCAGGTATGTTTTTAATTGTTCAAAAGCTTTCTGGCAGTCTTGTGTCCATTCAAAGTTTTTCTTCCCTCGCAGGATTTTAAAGATGGGTAAGCACCTTTCTGCAGATTTTGATAGAAATCTTACCAATGCCACAATTTTCCCCATAAGGTGCTGCACCTCTCTTATTGAAGCTAGGGGTCTCATTTCTATTATTACACGCACCTTTTCTAGATTGGCTTCAATTCCTCTGTTGGTCAGCATGAAGCCTAAAAATTTTCCAGCCTTTACCCCGAACGTACATTTTAAAGGGTTTAATTTCATGCCATATTCCTGTAGTATGCTGAAAACTTGCTCTAAGTCTTTAAGGTGCTGATCTAGACTTCTACTTTTTATTATCAGGTCATCGACATATACTTCTACGCACTTTCCTTTCAGCAACACGAAGATTTTGTTTGCAAAACGCTGGTATGTTGCACCTGCGTTTTTTAGGCCAAATGGCATCACTATGTAGCAATATGTTTCTCCTGCCGCGATGAAAGCTGTTTTGTCTTGATCCTCTTCTGCCAGTGGGATTTGGTTGTATCCGGAATAAGCGTCACAAAAACTGAGTACTTCATATCCGGAGGAATTGTCCACTAACTCATCTATGTTTGGTAATGCATAGTTGTCCTTGGGGCACACCTTATTAAGGTCAGTGAAATCAATGCACATACGCCATTTTCCATTTGCCTTCTTTACCATGACGACGTTGGATAACCACTCACAGAAGTTTATTTCTTTTATAAATCCTGCTTTTTTTAATTTCTCTACTTCTTCTTTTATAGCTGCGGTTCTTTCAGCTCCAAATTGTCTCATCTTTTGTCTGACCGGCACAGCTTCTGGGGGTACCCCGAGTCTATGGCATGCGACTTTAGGGTCTATTCCAGGCATGTCAGCTGCACTTCCCGCAAATATATCTTCATGCCTTCTTAAACATTCCTCTAGTTTTGCAGTAAATTTCGGGTCCATATCTGCTCCTACATTCGTTGTTTTGTTTGGATTTTTTGAGGTGAGTACCACGGATTTGGTGCGATCAATGGGCTCTGCTCGTTGTTCGTTTATACCTTCTCGTGCATCCATTGTATCTACTGTCAATGCTCTTCTTCTCCCGATGTCGCCTGTTGCGATTAAATCCCAGGCTCTGGACTTAGGCCGCAGTTTCCGAGTTTCTGATTGTTCAGATACTTGTGCTGTGACAGTTTCCTGAATTTCTGCGGACCTTCCTCTTGCTACTCCAATACCTTTTGGCGTAGGAAATTTGATCATCATATGGCTTGTAGAGATTACTGCTTGTAATGCATTCAATCCTGGTCTTCCTAAGATTGCGTTAAAAGAGCATGGTATGTCTACGACAAAGAAGTCCAAGGTTACCACAGCTTTCTGAGCGGTATCGCCAACATGGATAGGTATTGTGATGATCCCCACTACTGGCACCTCTTTTCCAAACAATCCTACTAACGGGAATTCACAGGGTCTCATAAATTGTGTTGAGAATCCCAGCTTTTTGAAAACTTCATGTGTAAGTATGTCTCTGCAACTTCCTGTGTCTACTAATATTCTTTTTAATATTTTTCCTTGCCGGAGGTTTCTGTCTTCAACTATTACTTGTATCATCAAGGGTTCATGAGGATATACTTCCCTTTGTTGCAGGTCTTTTTCTGTGAAGCTGATTACCTCACTTTTTCTTAAAGAATTCTTTGCTTCCAGTGTTACTGAGGGGGTTTTTTCCTTGCTGCGTACTTCAGATGGTAAGCTTACGATGTTAATGGTCCCCACAACTTCTAGTGGCTGTTCTTCTTCTTTCTCTTTTTCTCCAGGCTTTTTGTGCTGATCTTTCCTATTTCTGCTGCTATCGTTTGTTTTTACAAATTGCCGGAGTGCTCCTCGTCTTATTAACCTCTCGATTTCTATTTTCAGTTGTCTGCATTCCTCTGTATCGTGTCCATGTTCTCCATGAAAGGCGCAGAATCGTGTCTGATCTCTTCTAGCTGGGTTACTCGCCATTCTAACTAGCCATTGCAGCTTCTCTGTTTTCTTTGCTACGTTGAAGACCTCTGTCCTGCTGGTGTTTAAAGGTGTGAGTGTTGTATATCCCACAAATTCTCTTTGTGTCTGGGAGTGTCTATCTCTCAAGTTGTATCTTGTCTGTTTTCTGTCTTTAATACTTCTACTGTCTATATCTTTTCCTATTTTCCGCTTTCTTCCTTCTTCTGAATTCAGTGTTTCCTGCGCTTCTTTTACCGCTGCCCTTTCTTCTGCTCTGATGTATCCTTCCGCCCTTCTCAAGAGATCATTAAGGCTGGTGGGCTCCCGCTTGTTTAGAGATCTATAGAAACTTGAGTCTTTAAGTCCGTCCATTAGAGCATGCATTGCCACACTTTGGTCCAATCTTTCTACTTGCACAGCCTCGTTGTGAAATCTTGCTACCTGATTTGGGGTTCGGAATTGATTTTGATTTCCTTTGTTCCAGGGTTTTGATTTCCAAATTGTGGTGACAACCGTCGATGAGATGGGGAGGGACTGGAGTTTGGTCAGGTCTGAGGTTTCTCACCTTTTAATGTCAATTTAAGCAATATATTCTCTGCATCTCTAAATTTGTTAATCTTATTTGTATTCTTTTCAGCATCTCATCTTCTAAGCATTTGCTTGATGCTCGTTTCCTCAGAATTCTATACAAGACAGTTACAAATTTCGATTTATACACAAAGACTGGTATGAATTTTTATGGATACTAGTTTCCTCTTTGTCTGACATATTTCTGGTATATTACTTGTATTTTGTCTCCTTTAGTGGCTTATATTGTCACTTGTGGTATGGTGTTTATTGAGGGACAGGTTTTTTTATTGGTTCGAGATCACCTGCAGACTTGGTTTTTTAAGTGCTTTGTTTACTTGGGATTTTGGGACTGTAGTATTGCTTGTGGTAGTCAATTGATGCCTTCTTGATGATTACTAGTTTTGTCTTTTGGTTGGGGGAGGTTGGCTGCAAGAATTTGGGTTTTGGACTTGTGATTATTGATTGGTTTCAATTTCATTCGATGGTTTGTTAGCCATTCATTCATGTCTTGACAATCTAGAGCTTCACTTGTGATTTTTATTTTGCAAATGATACTCATCTAGAAGTGAAAAATTGGCCAAATAAGGTGATTTATCCTTTCCAAAGAAAAGACTCAACTTTTCTGCTTAAACCTCTTCTTGGGAACCTATCGAGCAAGTTAATCGTAGTGAACATTAGAATGACCCCCCCTTTTTCTTTCTAAAAAAAGATCGAGGAAATTGGGTATATGAGATTCATGGTCTTTTTATCCTTTTAGATTCTGAAATACCCATCATCCATGCTTGTTTCTTTTGCACCACCGTTCTTGTTTTTCCAACATACTGTAAGTTCGCTATCTTGGGCATGTCCATTTTATTAAGATCTGTTCATAATTCTGTTTTTCCTAGTGTAACAGTTATGCTTTAATATATGGATATACTTATCTTGAAACCCACAGGCAGCAATCCCTTATGAAGGTGGGATTTAATATTCTTGATATAACTTTTAGAAGACTCTTATGGTTGTCTGCGTGTTCGTGAACAATTAACATTTGGATGGTTTGCTAATTGTTCTCTTTACAGGAATAAATAAGTCTTTAATGTGTTTCAGAAAGCTTTTCCATTTTTGGTTTTTGTGCTACTTGCAGCAACTTGGTGGCTCTATGATCATTGATTCTTTCTATTTCTGGTTTTCTACAAGGATCATGTCTTATTCAGCTTGTTTGGATAAATTTTTAGGTGGATGGGAAGCCAAATCTGCCTACAGTGGCTGTTTTCAATAATTCCTACCAAGCAATGGATTCTTATGAAGATAAGCAGAATTGATGCAATGAAAAGGTTAGTGAGAAAGCAACCTTAAAGTTGACTTCTGTACGATTACATCAATGCTTGCAAGTAAGGATTACTAGCATGAGCACATTCTTGTAAAAATAGTGATAAAGATTTCTCTGATTGGTTTCTTAATTTGATTGTTTGGTAGGGAAATGTAAGGCAAGGCAGCATGGAGGCATAGAAGGCTCTAGCACAATTGAAGCTCCAGACAATGCTTCAGTTAATACTTTAGTTTAACAATTTAATTTTCTCATTTGGAAAATGATATGGTACTGGTTAATGAGTTCATGTCTATCAAATTACTAAGTTCTGGATATCATATATTTTTTGTACATGGTACAATTGTTTTTACTCTCAATACACTTTGTCTTAAATTTTAATGTCAATTTTATTCACTTCTAATGTTTTAGTAAATTATTTAATATTTTGTTCAATAGTGCAAAATAAAATAATTAATATTAAAATTTTATAACGGCAATATTAATTTTTTTTTTTTAAAGGATCAATTCCAGCGTTTTAAAACGCTGGCATTGCTCCACACCATGGTATTCCTGGTGGTGAAAAAGTCACTGTCTTCGATACCCTATCACAGCCTTCCTAAAAAAGCTACCTCTGGGTACACTATTTCGGTGCTCCTTAAAACGGTATTTGGTACAAAGCGCGACAGCCCGTATAGACGGCGTCTCATCAGCGTTTTAAGAAACGGTGTAACATTTTAATACAACGTTTAAAAATGCTGTCTTTCAGTGAAAAAAATACTAATTTTTCACTTTTTATCTTTTCTTGCAGTGAATTAAGGTGTTTGTAGTGTGGATTGATTTGAATTTTAATATTTTTAGAGTCAAATTAAATTAGTTGGTTAATAAAATTTTTAAATCAATTTAATTTATTATTATATTAGACTTAAACTAATTTAACTTAAATTAAATTGGTATGATTTAGTTGGATTAATTAATTTTCAATATTATTTTAAATATATTTGATTACATACAAAATTTAAACATCAAATGATAAAAAACAAAATTATAAAAGTGATTAGTGTTTATCTGTCTTATCTTCTAAATATTAGAAGAAATATTATTCCAAAATTATGTAGTTTTAATAAAGTATTACAGGAAAAGACAAAATATTCTAATTCATATTTTAAAAATAAGATATTTTAAGTTTTTTCAATGGGAATTTATTTAAATGACTTAATTTTGAAATGATTTTTCCCTTAATTTTTTAGAAGTAAGACGGATAGATACTATTTTTATTATAAAAATGTTACCATCATAAATAATAAAATAATAGAATCAATAAGACAAACCAAGAGGTAAACTATGGCCGCTCAAGATTTTTTGTATGAGAAACGATTTAAAGCTTCACTATATATATATATATATATATTTGATAGAGTTGCATTATTTTCTAATTAAGATAATTAAGTTATATTGTATAATAAAAGAACAAAAATGAAAGAAGAAAATGATAGCTAATATGATCAATGTTATAGTATAATAATTAAAAAAATGTTATATTATAGAAATTTTTTAAAAAAAAGTACAACAAAAAGATAAAAATTTTAAATACAATTTGTTAATTATATTTTTATTTTACCAAAAATTTCAAAAAAATATTTTTACCAAAAAATAAAAAAGTAAAAGTATTATAATATTTAATTAAGTTATTTTGTAATTGGGTGATTTGGTCAGTTTAAAAGTAAAATTATAAACCAAACTAATTATATGGATTTTAAAGTTTTTTAATTCAAACTATGTTAAAATATGCCATTAGCCTATTACCTTAATAAATTCGAAGTTTTTAACCCCTCATTTTATATTATTTAGCAGATGACTTTACTATATATACGAGAATATTATTAGATATTTATAATTAAATCAAGTGATTAGTTTAATCTAAAGAAAAAAATTTTGACTAAGATTAAAGAAAGAACTTTAATTGTAATCTTTTAGTTTTTTGAACTTTCTATCTTAACTTAATTAAGAAAATTTTTTTAATCTCAATCAAAATACTTTATTCAAATTGAATTAATTACTCAATTTGATTATAAATATATAATATTGTTTTAATGTATAGGCGAAAGTCATCTATTAATTTTTTTTAGTTTATAATTTTTTTAATTTAAAATTTTGAAACTAAATTAGTACATTTTTTTATTTTTTAGGATTAATTCTGTAAATATTTTATTCTCACATTAACAAAGAGTTAATGGATTCTATCAGTCTAAAGATTAAAATATTCAAATCTTTAAGTTTAAAGGTTAAATCTTCGTAATATAAGTTAAAGAGTTAAAAACTTTAAATTTAATAAAATAAAAGATTAAATACATATTTTAACCTTCAAACCAACTCAAATTGAACTGAGTTTGGATTGGATTTTAATTAAATTAATCAGTCGGATTGAATCAATCATATTAGATTGGATATGAACAGTCCAAATTCTATTCAAGTCTGGCCCAAAAACAAACAAAGTCATTGCAAACTTATTCAGCCCAAGCTCACGTATTAAACCCAATCACCTCAAAATACAGGAAAAGAGCGAGGGACTATTGGAGCAGCCGCAGAGAACCTTCCGTCACTGCCGTCACTGCTGCAACCTTCACCCTATGTAATTTAAAGGAGTGATGACTTCTTGTTTTCACGTTTTACATTTAATTTTCATATTTTTAAATTTTACGTAGTCGTCAACGATGAGAGCTATGCTCTTGGATTTGCTGGTGATTTCTCCACTGTTGCAGGATATCTTGTAGAGGGATGGAGTGGATCCTTGAATGCTCAATTGAGATTTTGGGCATCTCAGCCTCAGATGACTCCCCTTCCAGATTAATCGTATCGCCTTCTCTGTTAAGTTGTGGGTTTTCATAAATGTGTGAAGTCAGAGTTTGGATTGTTGCTCCTTGTTTCATGAATTTTATCTAATATTTGTTATGTTTTGCCCGAGTTTGTTGCTCAATGGCATTATCAAATATGTTGGAGGTGTGGGTATAGTTGGATTATCATTGGAAAAACCGTTCAGCTATTCCTTTGCTTGTGCTAGGATTGTGATAGGATGCCCTGGTTATAAGAATATGTTGGCTTGAGGACAGTGGCGGAACTGCTTAGGCTTACGGTTAGGCACCGGCTTTACCTGGGCCTAAAAAATTTATAGCATTATTAAGCCTAATACTATTAGGTTCTCCCCTAAATAAATGGAAGATTTTTATGAAAAGTAAAATCAAAAATATAAATTTAACTAATAGGTTTGCTAGGCACGACCCCTACCTGAACCCAAAAATTTATAGAATTATTGAACCTAATAGTTAGGTTCTAGAATTCTACTATGCAGTTTGATGGGCCGCGCGTCTCAATGAGGAGGTAAGAAATCACTTGTTTTGGGGATCGAATCCTCAGTTACTAATCATTTCTAACCTAATTACTAATCATTACTCTTATCAAAAAAAAAAAAAAAAGTTAAGTTCTACTTTAAATAAATGAAAGATTTTTATGAAAAGTAAAACCAAAGACATAAATTTAATAAATGGGCTTGTTATCGACCCGGCCAAATTCAAGAGTGACACGGAAACTTTTGGCGCCATTTACATGCAACCTAAATAAACAAATATTAAATTTTGTCTGCTAAAAGGATATTTCCAAATTGGTTAAATATTAAATTTGGTCTCTCAATTTTAGTAAGTTGCATATTTTTGGTCCCTCAACAATTTTTTGCACTTTTTTTATTTCTCAACTATACGAAATGCACTCCGTTAGTCCTTCTGTTAATTTTGATTATTAACTCGCTTATGTGGCATTTTTTATAATTTTTTTGATGACGTGACAAAAACAAATTGAAAACGTGTTGATGTGGAATTTTTTTTCATGCCAACTCATATGATTACTATTTATATTTTTAAAAAATAAAATAAAAAAATTTCGTTCATCTTCTTCCTTTCTCTTTTTCCTTTTTTTTTCTTCCTTTTCTTCCTCTGGTGATTGAACCCAGTTTGCTAGGTTCGGTGGAAACCAGGCGGGGTTCCGTTGGCTGGAACCCAGCACTGGGTTCCGTTGGCTGGAACCCAGCACTGGGTTCCATCGAACCCAGATCTGCTAGGTTCGACGGAACCCAGAACCCAACTCCACTTTTTTTTTTGTGTTTATATGATTGTTTGCCAAGAGATTATCCAAATTGCAGGTTGTTGTGAGGGATTTTTGGGCAACTG